ACAAACCATCAAAAACCAACAAGATCAAGCAAGGTGACACCGTCAATGGTATCGTTCACCTGAAGTGGGTTTACAAAGACAAGACCGATGACACTCTCAGTCTCAAACTTGTTGTTGTTGCTATAAAGCATTTCCAGAAAGAAGAAGTGAAATTCTCAGCAAACGATTTGTAAAAAGTAGTCAAACAATCCACAAAAACAAAAAGCAAAAAAATATTTTTTTAGAAGTGAAATCATGAATGCGTGGTTTGATGACGACTACTCCACAAACAAAGAAGAAGAGGTGATGGATACATGGACAGATGATGAACACTCTACCAGGAAAGATAAGATGATAGCGGACTACATTGACTATAGAAACCAGAAATGGTTTCCTACAGATATAGAATTGATGATTTTGGAAAATGAAGTAACTCCAGAGGATCTTGAGGTGTATGAGATGAAGAAAAATGATCTGTATGATACCACATCTTTCTTCGAAGAAATAGAAAAATCCAAAACCAGAACAGGAATCGAAACAAGATTGGAGATAACCCTGAACAAGGTTGGTTTACCAAAATATCTTAGCAAAACCCCATTCAACAATCTTGTTGATAAAATTCAGAGGATCAAGGTAGTAGCAAATAAAGAGAAAAAAGTCAAAGTGAGTTATCCATTCCTACTTTCGAAACTCATTGATGATGAAGATGATGTGATCAAGATCAAACCATTCATTCCAAAGTGTAAAAAATCACAACAAAGACTTGATGCCATATGGAAGAACTATAGAGAATCGAATGTATAAGAAAAGTAAAAAAATATCTTTTTTTTCCTTCTCATGATCACTGGACAAACTGCTTCATCATATCCGGAGCATAACTCATGAATGAAATGCTACTATCAAACCCCTCCTCAGCCAGATATCTTGGTATTTCATGGTGTCCGAACGCTAACGTACTACATCCATCTTCTGTGATATATCGTTTTGTGTCCAATGGTGATAAAGCTATCTTATTAACTGTTTCTCCGAAAATGACGTGTCTATGACTCCGGAGTGTTGTCATTTCTCGATGGAACACGGATTGATCCAAGAGACAATTTCGGAAATCATCATGTGTGATAGTTTTCTAGAGCACTGCTGTTTTCACCCCCTTTGCTCTTTTTCCACTTTCCTCACCAGAGTAACTGTACATCTTGGAGCGAAGTCCTACAAACTCAGTGATCAGTTTTCCACCGAGTTCATCTTTGAACAGGCCAACAACTTTCTTGTTTTTCTCGGAATATAACGGATGTGATTGATCATAATTGCTTGTATCATACTTATCAAGAAACTCACTCATGTCATCAAACAGATCATCAGTAAAGAAATGAAGAACCAAGCTGTCTGTATCGGTGTACAAGAGTTTCACATCAGAGCCATACAACTCTTTCAGGTGATTGTAGTAAAAGTCATACATGAGTGTCTTTGAGAGATCCAAAATCGACATCCCAACATATATGGGCTTGTTGAGGACGACCTTTGTCCTGTTACTTTGTACCCCGACCAGGTTATCGTTGAAGATCACATGGCGGTTGTACGTTGGTTTGGCAACAAGCTGTTTGATTTTTTTCTCCTCACGACTTCTCAACACTTTTATGTTGACTCTCCTCCGAACGTTCTCCATAGTTTTCCCAAACACCGCATTATTCATCAGTTTATAGAAGTCTTTGGAGAAATCATCCGTTGCCTTCTTCCGGAGGTCTGTATTCTTCTCGATGTAGTTTCTCATCCACGGTGTCTGAGTAAATTTCAGAGCACGATGAATTTTGACACAACGTAGTCCGAGCTGAGTGTAGAGTTTCAAGTTTCGGTAATGGAGAACGTACTTTGTCTTGTCCCTCAAGTTTGGTACAAGTTTGAGAGCATCTACTCCGGAAGAATTGAGTTTATCAACAAGCTCCTGCTGGTATGAAGATAGCATGTCCTCATTGACGGAAAGACGTTCCGGAGCAACGGGATAATCGTTGTGCTCCTCATGAAGTTCGTGTGGATAATCCAGATCACATTCGACGATATACCCCGATGAGGAATCATCTTGAGTATTCAGTATCTTGTTCAGGAGTGTCTCTGATGGTTTCTCCCACCGAAAATCAGACACTGGGAGATGCTGTGACATTGCCCAACCATAGAGATTGTTGGCATCGAGATACTGGATAAATGACGATGGCTGATCAGCATCAAATTTCTCCTGATAGTGATTATTAGCAGCAGCATATCGTTGTGAGACCATCGACACACCACCTCTCATTCCTGATTCTACAAACAAGTGCTGATCATAGTCTGTTAGTAATTCCAAGGACACACCTGAGTACATCAACAGAGCATCCCAGGCAAATCCAGGCAGAGTGTAGTAATTTGCTGGATCCAGCTGATACGTTCTGACAGCTTCTACTCTGAAATTCTCAAAGATGTCAGCCAAGAGAAACACGTCGGTCTTGAGATACAAGTCGTGATAATCACCAAGAGTCTGACAGTCGAATTTCATCCACATTGTCTCAGCATGTTTGTAGTCATCATCACTCACCCCCTCATCAGACAGTGAAGAATAGAACTTACTCTGTGCTGGTAGCTGAGTCTCATCGAACCTGGAGAAGCTGTTCATGTATTCATAGGGGTATACCCCTTTCCTCATCAACAGCTGATGGTTTGACAACGTCTTGGTGTGAGTGAATGACTCATCTGGTGTCGTTTTCACAAGTCTATCGAGTGACGCATTGAGAAACTGGCAGCTGTCGATGAACCGGAACTGTCTCCATGTGAATGAGATGAATTTCTCCATGTTGTTGGGAATGACTGATATCTCACCCACAGTTTTACTCTTACACACACCATCCTTATCCGTGTACGTGACGGTCTCAACATCTGTCTTTCCGATTGCTCCGATGAGATGATGACTGCCATAGCCTTTCAGGTTGTGAAAAACCACAGGGATGTGCTGCTTGTATGGATAAATTCTGAGTTTGATGTTACAGTCGTTGTGTGCGGCACCGCGGAAATCACCAGTGATGTGGTCGTGATCACGGACTCTGTCCTCACCAAGTTTCTTTTTACAAATCCAACAGTCTTCTGTCTCTCTGAACAATTTTTCTTGATCCTTAGTGAGATCCATCGGTGCTGGATTATTGAGTGCTGATTGGATTTTCTTCTCCTCATTTTTGAGTTTTTCAAAGAATACATCCATAGCATCAACACCCCGGTAGAAACACTGACTTGTCATCACTCCGTCAGAACGCACCACGACGTAACCAAAACCACAAGGAACATGCTGTGAATCCCAGCTGGTTTGTTGGCTTTTCACTCCATCAATTTTCTTGATCAGTGCCTCAGTGTCAGCATAGATTACATAGGGACATTGTAGCATTTTGTGATGATTAATGAACTTCAGTGTTGGTTGATTCCCATCTTCGTCCGGTTCTGGTAGTACCATGTGTGCTGATAATCCAGTGACATTATCACAATACTCCTGATGATTGCTCAGGGATTTCTCTGTGTTGTGTGGTTGGAGACATCTTGTACAGAAGAATTTCCTGGCTTTATGCTTTGACTGATCGTAGCACAATCTGCTGAAATCTTTGATCCAACAGTAGTGATTCTGATCTTCTTTTTGGTATAGTAGAAGATTGATTACTTTCTCACCTCTTTTCTTTGTCAGCAGTAGTGGATAGATCACGTTATCTTCATACCCAAAGACATTGATAGCTAGGCTGTTTTGCTTCTCGACTTTGGAAATCTGACTCAGTGGTGTTGGAAAATCGATTCCGAACAGATCAAGTTTGTTGCTATAGTCTGTATACTGAGTTACCCTGTCACTATTTTTCTTTGCTGGATACAGAGCTGAGAGCAGTGCCCACATCAGACATTTATCATCCTTATTCTTGACATTGATGATTGCCTTCTTTTTCTTGAGCTCGTTCGGTAAATCAATGTAGGATTTACCTCTCATTGGCTGATATGCTGCTACATCAACGTAAAATCCGATGATATGATTGATGTGCCAGTTTGATCCATTCTGTATCCACTTATCGATATTTCTATGAATTTGTGTGTGTGCCGTTCGAATACCGTCATCAATCTCATGAGATGTTGTGACTGTCATTGGTCCACTCCTGAAGTATGGTGTGTCTGTGGTTGTTATGTCGTCTCCTTTCTCCATTTCTACTTGTAATGTCAGACTGACTTTCACACCTTTGAGATTTTCCAGTTCTTTCTGTATCAATGTTCTCAGTGGGATGTTGATACTATCAAAGAATATATACAGATCTGGATGATTCTCTTTCGGTTCATAGATGAACGATTTCAGAATCCCTTTGGGTACTGACTTTGAGACTGTGAACGGTGGTGTGACAATCGGTTTCCTCTTACGATTCTTCCGATTCTTCCGAATCTGTTGCTTGAGAAGTTCCCGATTCTTTCTTTGGTCTATTTTTTTATGAATCCACCGGAGTTGTTTCTCAGTCTTGAGTTTCTTCCCGTCATAGGTGATAGTGAGTTTGCTCAGGTCTCTCTCTTTTTTTCACAAGACACGCTCATCGGCATGTGTTCTCAGAAACAGGATTCAGACACGCTCATTGGCATGTGTTCTCAGTTTCTTGTTGTGAAACAGGATTCAGACATGCGCATTGTGGCATGTGGTCTCAGTTTCGTGAAACAGGATTCAGACACGCTCATTGACATGTGTTCTCAGTTTCTTGTTGTGAAACAGGATTCAGACATGCGCATTGTGGCATGTGGTCTCAGTTTCGTGAAACAGGATTCAGACATGCGCATTGTGGCATGTGGTCTCAGTTTCCGCGATTCGAACCCGTGACTCTCGATTTCTTATCCTGTGTGTAGATTTACCAACCAGGCTATCGGGGTCAAACACATATGGAGTTGTTTATGTCTATTAGTACTGATAAGAGTCCGAATCCGGTGCTGTTGACAGTTAGTAGGTCTACCCCGTGATTTTTTTCTACAAACAAATCTGCTGCTGTGATCCGTGATCACAACCAGCTGAGTTGATCAAACGGCACCCAGCTGTCGAATCTTGCCGAGTAGCCTTTCCACCTCACAAGGGCTTGTTTCTTCTTGTTGTCCTTTCGGAGCACTTTCTCGATCCGGTAGATTTCTTGAGTAGTTTTCTGGAGCTCTTGTTCATAGAACGACCCATCAACGGGTTCACCATCGAGGTCCTTGACAGAGTACGTATTGGGTCTGGTCGGGAGAATATCGGTGATCCTGAATACCTCCTCAGTCCAGTTCGGAGTGTATCCTTTCTCGAAATGTCGTTTCTGCTTCACCAGTCGGACGTGGTCATCTATCTGGAATTTAGTGGACCTGGATAGTGGAGATTTCTCACCCAGTGAGTCACGGATTCGATCAGCGTTCTTCTCCCGTGATGCCTCAGTTGGTGTCATCCGAACACCTCTGTGTTTTGTCGTGTTGTACTTCTCTACCAAATGTGGAAGGACATCGATGTACCTGCTGGTGGAGTTAGCACTGAAGTATTTCCACATCCTGGTTTTCAGAGTTCGGTTGAAACGCTCAACTACAACAGCCTTTCCTTCGTTGTGAGTGCTGTACATCGTGATCTGATTCTCATCAAGCCAGTGTTTGAACGTTCGATTATAGAACTCGGTACCCTGATCAACCCACAGCTTACGTGGTTTCCTGCTGCTAGTTTTCACGATGGATCGAAATGCTGATTGGATGTCAACACCTTTCTTGGATTCGAGTGGAACAACCCAAGCATATCGGCTGAACAGATCAATGACAGTAAGCAAAAATTTGATTTCATCATTGTATTTACGAAAAGCTGTCATATCCACGAGATCGGCGGACCAGATTTCATCAATCTCACTCACAGTCACTTGTCTCCTAGTGAAATTCACACGCTTTGGCTTGTGTAACTCATCAGCCAGATCATCAGTCCAGTTCCTATCTATTTTTTTTTTTACTCCTAAACCTATCATCTTGAACAAACCAGACAGGAATCCACCTTCTCTGATTTCCGATTTCTTGATAAATTGTGAACACGATCGACCACATACTGAGCATTTACCCTTGACATATGGTTGACCAGTTGATGTGACTTCTCCTTGTATCCCTCTCATCTGTTGCTTTTTCTTACACGATAGGCAATGAACATTCATCTTAATCTATCTATCTACTTTTTTATTTCTCATGGATACAAAGATGTGCCAACAATCCCATATTTTCACAGTGATCTTCCAAACTCTCATCAATCCTATCAACACTCACTAACTGGAAACTCCCATAATCCATTTTGTCAAGCTCTGCTTTTGTCAATGACATAAAAATCTGTGGATTATTGGTAAATATGTGGATGTTGATCGTGTCATGCTCCTGATCATCTTTCGTGAGTTCCAAACTCACCCCCAGAATATTGTCACGGAACTGTGGAATGTTGGAGAGAGAGTATCCAAACCCAACTGTCCCACGGCAGATTATGTGATACATTTTCATGTTTGTCTATCTATCTTTTTTTCTTTCTTTCCACCCATATCACCAATTATGTTATCTAAACTGTTCATACTATAGGGTAAGATCCAACAAGTTTGATAGAATTTGTAAAATCAATTACCTACAACGATGGCTGCGTCTTTCCCGAGTGACTATTTCTCCTATGAGGACTTTGACTATGAACCTGATACTCCTGATTGTGGTGATCCTTGGGAGGATATGGAATCATTTATTATTCACATTGATGAAAGTGAAGATGAGATGATTGATAGAATAATGATGAATGATTTAATGACCAGTGATTTATTTGATGATGTGTTTGAAAATGCTCTTGATGAACAAATGAATATCATCCCAAGCATTTTCCTGAGAATTTGTGAAAATCCAAAGTATGGAGGAATCTGTAGTTCCTTCACCAACAATCACCTGTTAGAGAAGTTTCAGGATGATATTGATGAATATTTGTAAGAAAAAATAGAAGAGAAGAGAAAAGAGGTGACCAACTCTCCTCATTTTTTTTCTACACCGAATTATCATCATAAACGGTTATTTGAATCCTGTTGTATAGAAGTATACCGATGAGAATTCCAAAGATTTTCTATCAGCAAAGATGACTTCTCCTTGTAAGATTTACAAACGTGTAAGCCAACACACCGATCAGGTATATGTGGGCTCCACTTGTCTACCACTGAAAAATAGGATGTATCTTCATAGATCCACTTTCAGAGCATATCAAAAAGGTAATCATAATTTTGTGACATCATTCATTCTGCTTGATCTCGGACATGTAGAAATTGTTGAGATTGACTCTCTATCAATGTTTGATAAAGATGAGCTTCAGAGGAGAGAACGATACTGGATCGAAAAATTGGATACCGTGAATAAAAACAAGCCTGGAAGATCAGCATCAGAGTGGTATCAAGATAATCACAAGAAAATAATAATATCTTTATTAGGATGACCCAGAGGCTTGTCGCCTATCAAGGGGTTCACCGCTTTGAAGGATGTACATGTAAATCAGACAATATGCCAATGAAAGAATTGTCTGTGAGAAATGTCAGAAGTCTTATCCAAGAAACAACAAATCCCATCATGAAAAATCGATGTTCCACTAGCTCCGTGAATGATAAAATTGATGATGCTTATACAATGAATACCAAAAAAGAAAAAGGAACTAGTGAAAGAAAAAAAGGTTTTTGTGTTTTCCTTTTTTATCTCTTTTATCTCTTTTTTTCTTCCCCTTTTTTACAATACCAACTGCTCATTTTCTTGACTGGGGTGCAGAGTGAAATCCAACAAGACATCAAGAGCACTTCTGCCTTTGTTTCTTTCTTCTATGAAATGTATACAGTAGTATCCACACAGGACACTATCATTCATCTGTATCTTTGATGAGTTACACCAACATTTTTTATGGTGCTTCTTCATCCACCCAACTACCTCCTCTGGTGGTGATAAGCCAAAGCTGTCAAAATATTCATTACCAAACACACAAACCCAGTGAGTACCACCACCGTCCAAGAAATCTTGGAGATTGATTACCAAACAATCCTTTGATGATAGAGGTTGTGGAAGCTGATCTTTGCTAAAAGTTCCTCTGAAATGTGGAATAGATCTCAGAATTTCATCAATGTCAAAGTTGGTCAGTGGTCTCACGTTCCTGGTAGACGTAACCCCTTTCCTTTTTGGTCTTTTTTTACCCCTCTACCCCTCCGTGTTCCAGGAAGTTGTAATCCTTCACCGGTGTTTCCTAAACCGATCATTTTCCCAGAGCTGGTGCTAACAATCCAGCTGCTAATGCTCCGAGAAACCCACCTTGCTTCTTGAGTTGAGTACTGGATAACTTGAGATCCATTCCTACTCCTTTTTGCTTGGATTTTTTGATTTTGGTAACCTGTCGGTTTGTGAGCAAAAGCATATCATTTCCGGATAACTGATCTTTTGTTAACCGGAGTGTGATTCCATCCTGAGCATGTCGGTTTGTGAGCAAAAGCATATCATTTCCGGATAATGTCGCAGTGATGTAGTTAGTGTGTGTTAGCATCCACCGATCACACTGCCATGTTTGCATCTGCCGCGCACCGCTGCATCGGTGCATTGTGCACTGCACTCACACTGCCAGCGCATAGATTCGGGCACGCTTGGCCTGACGTCACACAACTGCTTCCTTTGAACTTTTGCTCACTGCACTCACACTAGTACACTGCCAGCGCATGGATTCGGGCGCGCTTAGCCTGACGTCGTACAACTGCTTCCTTTGAACTTTCTCTTTCTTTCTTGCTGTTGGCTTCACTTCAAAGACTAGTCTAATTAGTGGTGACTTTTAGCTTGTGCCAGCACCAAATTTTCGACATTGGCATGGGTGCTGCGTGCTCCACACCGCCTCACGCTGGAAATCTGCACGTCCCAAAGTCGGTGCAGGATAGGATATTGCGAGGTGAGATTGTGGACTTCGACCAATTGTTGCCTGAGATCTTGGGGGCAGTTGATAGCAATAAGTCGTTCGAGCTCAGATCCAGTTCATCCGGGGGTGCACTGGAAGTCGTAGAGGTGAACACCACTCGCCCGGTTCGTAGACGTGTGCACGATATCGCCACTTGGTTAGAAGCATGGTCTCTGTATATGCATGTTGTGATCAGCAATGCACCCCACCGCACAGCAGAACTCCTGTCATACCAGTGCATGATCTTGGCGGCCAACAGGCAGTATTTTGCAGAGGCTTGGCTTATGTATGACCAGCAATTTCGAAGGCTTGTCGCTTCACAACCTGGCAAGCGCTTTGATACGATTGACATAAATACATGGCAGCTGTGCATCACAGGCAAGGCCAGGCATAGATGTCAGTCGTGCAGCCTTGTCCACCCAGCGGCTGCAAGCAACATGTGCCCTTTTCGTCCCAAACATGCACACCAAGCTCAAACATCATCATCCTCACTGCTCACCCGCAACAACACAGGTGCCGTCATCTGCCGAAACTTCAACCTTGGCAAGTGTAGCTGGTCAAATTGCCGGTTCTCCCACATCTGCAACCGCTGTGGCAAGGACCACCCCCGCAGCAAGTGTTCCGGCAAAGGTCAGCGACCAGCCCAGTAGTTCGGGATTGCAATCCCAGCCTGAGCAACCAATAACTGTTGCATGTGTACATAATTTTGTTCCCGCTCACATTAATAATTCCTCTGTACATACCCCTTTGCATGTCTCTCGTTTTGAGCTTCTATTGCGTCATCACCCCGATAAAGAATTTGCTTCCTATGTGCTAAACGGGCTGCACTACTGCGTTAGCATAGGTTTCACTGCTTCACGCGACGATGACATGAAACGTTTTAGAGTAGGATGCATGTTTTTCAGCTCCCGTTTTTGTATCGTTTTTAGGTTACTTTTGGGGTCTCTGACCCGGATTTTTTGTTGCAAGCATGTCTACAAACAGGGATTCCACGACCATGGCCGCAGTAGAGAGCGATGAGCACGAACAGCCGTGCGATGTCCCAGATAATCGTTTCCCTACGTCGAACTGCTGCCGCGATTTCCACAACGCTCTGGCGGTGATAATGGATATGCTTGATGTCGAAAGAAGTGCTGCTGCAGACCGTGAGAAAAGGCTGATAAGCCATATCGACCAGCTATCTAGGACCGTTCAGGAGCTATCCAGATCAAGCGCACTGAACATTCCAAGTTCAGGAAGTTCCGCCATTACGGTTGGAGATTCTCAGGCTCAGAGCAAGTCGCAAAGAAAGAGGCGCCATGCTACTAACTGCCCAACCGTTGAGTCCGAAACCAACCCGAATACCGTAGTAGATCTACAACTGACTTCATCTGGTCCGGCCCAGCAAAATGCTGCGGCCACGTGTCACATTCCAGTCGAGAGCGGACCTACCGTACCAGGACATGACCTCAGTGACCTGGATCATCACCAACGCGTGGGTGTCACGTCGAACGTTCAAACTGCTAGTAATTCGAACTCCAAGACCAACATTCAAACTTCAGCTAATGCAGCCAGTGCAGTCAGTGAGGCCAATTTGCCAGACGTCGATGACGACAGTGAAGATGCTGCCTGGCGTTTGGTGACAGCCAGGAAACCTGTCAAGAAAAGTGTTGTGTTTGTTGGCAATCTGCTGCGCGATGCCTCACCGGAGCAGCTAGCACGCTTCGTGGAGTGTCGCTCGTCGGAGTTGAAGACTCCCCCTATTAAAATTCTCGACTGCAAAGTTTTTCAGAAGCAAAAGTCGTCGTCTGCGAGACTGGTAGTCCACGCATCGTGCAGCAAGACGCTGTTGGATCGTCGCTTCTGGCCCAGACCACTCTATTCCAGGCAGTGGAATTTCGACAAGTACTCTGCCTCTGATGTCAGTGATGATACCACAGAAACCACAGCATGTGACGACACGCAAGCAAACTCGTCATCCCTTTCGGAAGTGGAAACAAATATGCACGCGCCCTCAGTCAGCGATGGCTCTGAAATCAACCATGCCTGCTGATGACCATGCTGCACACTGCCTTCTTGAATGTATGTAGTATCAGGCGCAAGACAGCCGAAGTGCAAAAGTTCTTGTCAAACAGAGGCATTCATGTCTTTGGTATGGCTGAGACTTGGCTCACTCCAGATATCTTGGACAGTGAACTTACTATCCCACATTTCAAGCTACATCGGAAGGATAGATTGCAGCAACGT